AACCAAGTGGAGGCCAAAGAATACACAATTCCCTTTCCCACCCCCTTTCCAGAAATGCAAACCAATTGCCCGAGACACAAGAGCTAGCAGCGCTCAAGACGGCCCCATGCAACTGATCTTTGTCCTTTCTGTCAAAGATGACTAGGGAACATGTTTAGGACCAAGTCTAACAGAGACCATCAATATAAATCTAATAAATAAATACCTCTCCTGAAAAAGGAATTCTGTTCACTACCCTGAAGTATGCAGCAGGTCTGTCCAGTGCTAAATAAGCCCTCTGTTGGTGCCAGCAGCCTCTCAAACTACTACCCAGTTTCCAGCTTTCCATTTCAAGACTAGCTGAAAATAGTTTCTCAATTTTTGCTGCCAACATTTAGGAGCCCTCCTAGACTGGTTCAGGATGGACTGATTTTAAATCAAAGCCCTTTAAATTATGAGGATAACCATGTTTTGCAGTTGTACTTCTAGTTATTTTCCTAAAGGGGTTGGTCTTATTGGCTTGTAACTGCTAATACATTGGTTTGCAACTAAATATAGCCTTTATACTTATGTGTGGTCTGTTGCTAACTAGGTTTGCTAAGTTCTTTTGCTCCATATGTATGCACATTTATTTAAGCAGTTGCATAGCTTACCATATATTTATTCAGGTTCTTAATTTAGACATTTGTTAGAAAATGGTGAATGATGTGTTTCTTTACTAGAGGATTTATTGTTTTTACTAATGCATTCTCAAACTGCATTGAGGTGGAAATTGGAACTGAATTAATGTATAAAACACCATTTTAAAATTGTTCTACTTGTATCTAGCCTAATAGTTCTCAATGTTTGTGAACTTAAGACACCCTTCCATAACCTTTGTGAAATGAGTGGCATCCAATTTCAAAAACTAATCTGTAGATAACTGTGCTTACCTCCTTGCAGAGGCCTCTAGCAATGGGATGGGGGATCCTCCAGGCAGGAACATGCCTGAGCCTACGTGTACCTGCTTAGTTTACCTCCTTTCCTCCAAAACTTCACTTTTCTCCTGCCGCCTCAAGGGCACCCTTCAAAAGATCTGGTAGCACCCTAGTTGAGAATCACTGATATAGCTTATTTAAAGAGTTGTTATAAAGTGCTTTAAAAACTGATACATTGAAGTGTTATGGGCAGTTGACAAATTGAACTTATTGTTTTTGGTCACCACATCCTTCAACTTGTCAGAAATAGATCTCACACTGACATCTTTTTTGTATTCATAGATGGCTGGTTTGCTATTCCCTTCTTTCTCACTGCTTTAACTCTTAATCAGTTAACTTGAACAAAGCAGAGATTTAGTTGACAAGGGTGAAGTTAAGTGGATGCTATCTCTGCAACTGCTGAATTAGCAGGTTGTAAAACAGGTTGGTGTTTCGGTAGTTATTTCCCTTAGGTCAGTGGTGAGCCTATTTTAAAACTTTAGCAGCAACTCTGTGCTGTAAGAATAACTTAATTTTAAATTATTTTACTAATTATAGTAATCTTAGTCTTCATAGATGGTAATTCTGTTTCAGTTTTTAAATAAGGATTTTTTTAAAGTTTTTAAAAATAGGTAGGAATTTCTATCGGTCTGTCTTCAGGCCTTGATTTGGGACTGAAATGAAAGTGATAATGCAAATCTGACTATTTTCTGTCCACTGAAAGATTTAATTAATTGCCTCTCTAATTCTGATAAGCTCCTTCAGAATTTGATAGTACGGACCACCAAAATGTAGAATATAGAACAGTGTCAGTAGAAGACTCAAAAGCTAGATTAGATTTTCCCCTTTGGGTTTGCTCCCAGAGGGTTGACATCGGCAGTTTGTTTGTCTCCCAGCTCTTCATATATGGATCCCACAAAGCTCCTCTTTTTCAATATCTAAATGAAGCCTTTGGGAGAGCTGCTAAGATAGCAAGGCCTGAAGTCTGGGCAGTATGCATGTGGCACTCACATCTGCTCTTCTGAAAGTGTCATCTCCATTCTGGTGGCAATCTCAGGAAAGCTTTAAGAACAGTAAACTGAAACTTTTAATATGGATAAGATGTAACTTGTGATGAAAGGAAACCCATTCTGATATTTGTCTGTGCTAGCCACGTTAATTCTATTTTGGAATGTTATTTTTTTGTAAATATTTCTATTAAGTAATTTAGTACCGGGACCATGCCTTCTTTTTAAGCCTGTTGACTAATATACTGAAAAGTGTATGTACACTAGCAGATGCAACATCATGCATGTCTGCAGCCATCTACTTTAATTGGTTTTGGGGATGGATTCCTGTTATTTTTAAGTATAGTTTTAGATAGAAGTGTCTCACTGAGTGTACTGCTTTTGACTTTTTGAAAAAAAATATCTAGCTGGGAAAGCACTTCTAAAAATTGATCAAAAGTTCATGCAACTTCAAAATTGTCACATAATGAACATAACTTGAAAAACTAGTACTCTCAATGTTTTTACTGCTAAATAAGTATTTTGAGGAACTGTAGTTTCTTCTAAATTCTCTGCCAGATCATATATGTTAAGTCCATTTCTTAAAAAAAAAAACAACACCACAAATACAGACTGGAGAAACTGGCTACATGCAGTTCAAATCCATACAGCATCAAATGCATATAGTAAACTGAAGGAAAATATAATTATTTCAGTTACAGTAAAATGCATTATAAAAGCATTAGACTGAAAATGTTCAGATAGATAACATTTTAAATTGTGTTTCTCTAGTTTTGTAGATTCTTAGGATTAATTTTCTATAGGGTCAGTAAGGACTCCATAATTTATCTATTTTATTTTTCTAAGAACTGTGAAACATCGTAAATTGAGTCAGATACATAACTCAAGTTTTTGTATTGGCTAAATGAACCACATGCTTGATGATTTCTACTCAATGTGCAGATTTCATTCAGTATGACAAGGATGCTCTTTATGAGTTGAATTAGCTGAGTGGTGTGCAAATATAGTGTCACCTTGCATGCCCAGTAATGAACAGATCTCATCAACAACTTGAGACCAACACTGGTGATCAAAACATGAATGGTGATTATATATGTTTCCTGTATGTTTTAAGGGAGAAAAATGGAGAAAAATGCTTCTTATGGCATTTGTATAAATACCATAGTCATGAGGGTTTATCAGCAGTAACGTAACTAGGCCAGGGCAAAAGGGAACACCAGCCCCAGGGTGCTGACTTAGAGCAAGCGCCAGGATGGGCCTCTCCCCACCCCAGCTGTCTCCCCATGGCACATACAGCCCTTTCTGGTGGAAGGAGTAGGCTGGAATGATGTCTCTTCCCCCTGGGACTCTTTGCTGTGAGAGAGTCAACCCTGGGGTGGGACAGGCGGGGGGTGAACAGCAGCTGGCTAGCCCGTACGGTTAAAGTAGCAGCTGCTGCTCAAGTGAAGAGAGCCCAGGCAGGCAAGAGGCAGTCCCTCACCCACTTACCCACCCCAGGCACTGAAACAGCTGCATGTGTTTTACTCCATTCACCAGTTTCTATAAGCAAGATAAAATGGATCAATTCAATGAGGATTCCACAAAGGAGCATTTTTTTAAGTATTTTTCCCATTACTCTTCATGTAGCAGTTTTTCTTCAGCAGATACGAAACCTTGAATTAGGAATCTGGCTCAGTTCTTGGACCTTCAGATGGGCAAAGTCTAAAGCAGGGGTGGCTGACCTGCCATAAACATGTGCCACAGGTAGCATAGGTAGCTTGTGTGTATAGCACACAGCAGATCTGTGAGGAGGCAGGCACCACAACAGCAGATATTTTAGGGAGCTGAAAGCAGAGCAGCAGATCAGGCAGGGAAAGACTATCAGTGGCACTCAGGGAGGGTGCAGGGCATAATTTGTGGCATACCTGTCAAAAAGGTTGCGCCTCCTCCCTTTATCTAAAGAGTTATTATAGTGGAATCCAACAGCAAAATAAGTTTAGCTTCAGAATATAGAACTCGCTGTTTTTTTTTTAGTACTGTGCCATGGTGTTACTTTTGTAGAACAGCACATTGGAGCATGTATCGCATAACTGTGCTATTCTATTGATCACTTGTAATTGATACTTTCTAATCTCCAGTAGAATACAGTACATTCTGTTCTGTGCACAAAATACTAGCCGAGTGTGTTTGAACAAGGAGAGCAAGTTTTATCACATTTAAGTTCTATCAAAAGTGATGTACCAGTAACCGCACAAATCACCTGATCTATGTTAGATAAAAGTATTTGTTTGAGAGGCTTTTAATGCCTAGAAGAGTTGAAATGTGTTTTGGTTTCAAGTATTACAATCAATTTATATCACTACATTCTCCTCTCCCTATCTTTCTGTCTGCCTTATTCTTACTCTTTTTTGAAACCTAGCTTTATGTACATTTTCAGTAGGATTGGAATTCACTCAGGAAAGAGTTGTACTGCAGGTTCTTCATGTGTTTGTGTTTTATTCTGAGGTTAATCAATATCAGGTTCTTTGACCTTATTCAGTAAGGCAGGGGTGTCAAAAGCCAGCCAAACCCACAGATCAGCCCCACATGCTGGACCCTGCACAAGTCCTGGAGTGGCCTGAGTGGACAGGGTGTGCGATGCAGTCCTGCTGCAGCTGCTCCCAAGCCATGCTGCATGTAGCCACTGCTTCAGGGCCATGCTGCACATGGTGGCTGCTCTGGGGCCAGACTGCTGGATCTGTCATGGAGCTGACCGGAGCTTGAGCAGGCACTGCATGCAGCATGGTCATGGAATGGCTGGAGCAGGCACCATGTGCAGCACGTGGGAGGACCATCCAAGTGGCACGCTGCATGCTTCCTGTGGGTCAACTCCAGGACCCACAGGCAGCATAGGAGGCTGGATCCAGCCCACAGGAATATCTTTGACACACCTGCAGTAGGGCATTTTGGAATGTGCTTAACTTGCAGAGTATTATTAGTCTGACCAAAGTTAACTGGATTACTCTGCTGCTTAACATTGTTTACCGGAAATGTAACATGGTTGGTTTGTTTATATAGTTGTACATTTATTTTTTTCTAGCTTGTCAAAATTCCCAAAGCTGATCTCCCAAATGAAGTGCATAACTTTAACTTCTACTTGTCAAACGTTGGCAAAGATAATCCTCAGGGAAGCTTTGACTGTGTCCAGCAAACGGTCACAAGGTAAGCAGTATTTAAATTTGTGCAGAAAGAAAGTGCTGGGGAGCTTGTGTGGTCTAGAACAGAAACTTTAATAAAACAAGTACACTGTTCCTTTCAAACTACGGTAAAAATGCAAACTTTAGAATATCATGGTTTCTTCAAGTGCATAATAACCTATGTTTACCTATAGCTCTTTCATTTTGTTTCCAAAAACTAACCTTTAAGCAGTTTGCATTTTCATGCCTCTTTAGTGCTATATTAAAAATTAGCTAGGGCTGGGCTTCATTTCTATCCAGGCTAGGATCAGATCCATGGTACAGTCAGGTAGAACTTGATCATAGAGGTGCAGACAGAAGAGCAGCTCCCTGCTGTAACTCGCAATGCTTTGCAGGAAGTGTTATGAGTTGCAAGGATCCCCCGGAGCAAACAGAAGTTCAGTGTTTGTTCCAGGGGGAGGGGAATCTAGCTATTGACTGCCAGCCTGCAGCTGGTTTCCCCTAGCAATGACACCCGTGCCTGCCAGGCTGCAAAGTTTTCAGAATGGGAGGGGGAAAGGGAGCAGCAGGAGCTCATTCTAGGGGTTCAACAGCCATCACTGGAGGGTGGGGTAGATGTATTAGAGCCACCCCACCTCCTGGGGGGGAGGCCCAATTCACCCACCCCACCCTCCAATGGGGGCGGAAAAACCTCCAGACTGAAATCCCTCCACTCCCTTTCCCCCCTCCCGTTCTGAAAACAGCAACAGGCTGGCAAGCAGGCAAACAGAAGTTACAGAAGACACTGTTTTGAAATGTCTCCATCTGACCCCTCATGCAGTGTGGGGTCAGTTTTTCACCCGATTAGCCATTTCTTAAGCTGTCTGCAGCCAGGCACTTGTGTTTAGTCACAGCTATAGACTGCTTTCTGTAGCCAGATCAGGCGAAGATTGTCACTGCTGTCTGCACCCAGAGCTCAGCATGCTATCTTGGTTGGCCTGGCCATAATGTCTAGGACTTTTCAAAGAATGGCACTAGTTAGAAATCTTGTCTACTGTTGCATGACTGTTCTGTTCAAGAGCCCCAGTGCAAAATAGCAATGCCATGACATGGTTAAGTTGGATTTGTAATGAGTGTGTGCATTTTTACCCACACAAACTAGCTAGTACCATATTGGCGCACAACTTTATTGTTAATGGGCCTTGGAACCTGGCTTTTTAGGTAGTATAGGTTATTCTGAAACACTGGCTTCCAGCTAATTTATTATGACGATAACCTGATCTTAAAGCTATCCAGCGATGGAGATCCTCAGTGTTAGTTAGCTGTTTTAATAACTCCCCCTATAGACATAGTTAGGCACTTAAGGTTGTCCAAGACACAAGAAGGTATCCTAGCTGACTAGAGGTATGAGCTATCCTTTCCCTTCTCCCCCCACTTTCCCGTGGACCTGTTAAACCATATCAATCCTATGTGAAGACATTCTTATTCAGCATTAAAGTGGCTTTAATTTAACTTAACTTACTTTGCTTTTGAAAGCAAGCTTAATTGAATCAAAACCACTTACTGTTTTAAATTAAGTATCCACTTAAAGCACAGATTGATTGTGCCTTAATCTTCTGTAAAAGTTAATTGGTAAGAATGCTCAGGACCGCTAATGTACGGATGCACTTCAGTACATGCTGAGTCCCAACTTATTGTGTTCTGACTTCCCCATGTACACAAGACCATAACAGATGTCATTTTAATCTGTTGATAGGCAATCAATTTAGGCTGCAGAATTACCTAAGAGTCTCATTTCTCTTTCTATGTCTTATGTTCCACCTCTTAAGTTTCAGGAAGTAGCCAGTGTTATTTTGGAAAAGATAGTATGTCCTGTATAGTTGAGACATAATTAGAATGTTTGTGTCTCAAGGAACTAATTTATATAATCTGAACATGAGGGGCTAAAATGCCAGCAAATAAAGTCTTAGCAAAAATACTGAGCCCAACTGAAGCATGGACACAGTCTTCAAGGAATTAGTCAACGTGACACAATCTTGATTTTTCAGGTGATGGGATAGAATGGATATTACATTTCCTGGTCTTCCTCCTCCCTCCCCCCCCCCCGCCTTTCATAGTGCATTTTGGGAGGGTAACATGCTAAAGAACATAAATTAATCAACCTTATGCTAAAATGCAGCAGTGAAAATGTTTCCATGCTCCCAGTAGGGTACAGTACTAGTTGTGAACTCTTTAATGATGTATTCTACAATGTTAAATCCGAGCTTGATATAGCTGGCAGACTTCAGAAAAGCTAAAAATAAACTGGTAATTTAAGAAGAAATGTGCTGAATGCTCCTTACCCTTTTTATTTGGAACATTCAGCAGAGAATTGTGGGGTTACTTTTCAGTAAAGTTGCAGGTCAGCTGAACTCCCAGTCCATCTGTAGGTCAGCAGCATAAATTACTAGTTGAAACCATGCTACTTTAAATTATGGTAATTCTTTGAACAGTGTCCTTAACCAGTAGGGACAGGCACTTTTGTATAAGGACTGATCAGAAATGGTCAGACTGGGAAGGGAGAAAAATATAGTGAAATTCTGTGGAGAAACTCCCCCTCTCTGTTTTTTTATGTTATTAAAAATGTCTCTAGAGCTCATTGTGCAAATAAGCAGTAGTAGATAGACCATGTGTCATTAATTCATATGTGCAGTATTCATTGATCTCTGAGAGTGATAGAGATGCTGTGAACTTCAAAATTCAGGCTGCATCTGCCCTTGTTCTTTGTGGCTTTTCTATCGCAATTTTTTTGTCCCTGGTTGCTACATGCAGTATCTAGGCAAACAGATAGGTCAGCTGAACACAGATTCTTCAGTGCTGCAGACATGCAAAATAGGCATGGTGAAAAAGAGATGTTTTAATAACTAACCATTTAGAAAAGTTGGCATACAAATACTAGGCAAAAATCATATCTGAGAATTCAGTTGAATTAACCCTTTTAAAAACCAGAAGAAAGATAGAACTGCATGAATTACATATGCGATTTTTTCCCATTTCTGCTCAACTCATTGAGTGATCCTAACACAATTTGAAAAGTCCTTTTAAATGGTCCCTAAGGCACATGTGTAGTCTGTGCACAGTTTTGGTACCATTATAACTAATTACTTTAGGGGTGTAGTCTTTCCTGAAATAGTTATAAAAGCACAACTCTGATACCCATATAAATTTGCCCTATTCTGGTCTACCAGTATTACTGTTCCCTTAATGAGGAAGAGGGTCGTACTACTTTTAAATGTAACAATATAGTTAACTTTACAGGTTTTGTGTATCCCTGAAAGCCATTCATTTGAAGCAATATTTAGATATTAGCTAGTTGTTTGTGTTGTAACCTAAGCAATTGAGAAATGCACCCTTTTTGCTAGCAGTATTTAGGCTCTAAATATTATGAATTTGACTAAGTTTCAGTGAAAGCTTAAATTTGAAATAGTATTTTAATCTCTTGAAGTGTTTTCTTTCACTACTTTCATAGTTCTGGAGCTTCGCAGCTCAATTGCTTGGGATTTATTCAAGATAAAATTACAGTGTGTGCAACAAATGACTCCTATCAGATGACAAGAGAACGCATGACCCAGGCAGAAGAGGAATCACGTAATCGAAGTACAAAGGTCATAAAACCTGGTGGTCCATTTGTAGGTATGGTTGTCTTTGCTATTTTAATCTAACAGATGTTTGGAAGTCTGTAACTTTGACAAGTACGAGATTCATAATGGTTAGCATATTTTTGCCTTACAGAAGAGGATCTGAAGCTTTGGTTAGCACATCTTTGCCACCTGTTCACAGTCTCACATTATTCTCCCTGCTCTTCCTTGCCCTTAGCATCCCTCGTCTTTATTCACTGGTCCAGGGAATTATTAGCATGGTTACAATGGGCATATCTACACGAGACACTGCGCGGTAGCCTAATAACACTGCACAGTAGCGTACCGGTCGAAAACTATGGTAATAAGCTACTGTGCAGTGTTATTAAGCTACTGCTTAGTAACCGTTACAAAAAAAACGTGCAACGGTGCTACTGTGTGGTAAAAGTAGTTACTGCACATTCAGTTAGTACTTCATTAAAGAAGTACTAAACTAAATGCTCAGTAACTAAAATTCATTAATGAATTTGTAGAGGCGCCCAATGAGTACTAAATTTAGTGACATAGCAGATTCAGTGCTTCTTCTCTTTCATGAAAATGCTGACGGGTTCATAGAATTAGTACCTTCCTGAATATTTGTGGTGTTTTACATGTTTAGATTGAAATGGCTGCAGACTCCATAGGACAATGGTGCATGGAAGTGATTTTCAATCTTGTCTACCGTCTTTCTTAATATTAGTCCAGTCAGCTGTAGGGACTCGCCACAGTAACAGGATCTCAGGCTGTGAATTTTACTGTAAATGGAGATGCAGAATTATTTTCACACCAGTAGACCAGGACTGGCAAGCAGCCTGACTAGACAGACTTTCAAGGGTCTGTTCCTGCTGCCAGACTCTATCCAGAAGTGACCTTTGGAAAGGAAGGGCAGGTTGCCCATGCTAGCATGAACATTCCAGTCCTGTTATACTGCAGTACATTACTTTAGATGTTCTTGCCTATTATAGGGTATCTTAACTAGGTATCTACACTTTATGAAATACAAAGTTAAAACTATGTTGGCTTGGCATTGTAATGTCCAGAAAAGTTAATATTATAACTGTGTCTAGTCCTCCTGCACATTCCACGTTTTTTCCACCTGTAGTCCAGGGTGGGCAGTTATTTGGGCTGGAGGGAGTTTTGGTGAACTGTTGCAAAGGGTTGGTGGCAGGTGGACCCAGACTGCAACAGCTCACCAAAACTCCCTAAGTGGCCCTCCAGCCCAAATATGCCCACCCCTGCTGTAGTCTGTCCTGAATAAGCACAGTCTACTTATTTTTCTTATTGTTCCATTTTTTAAAAAAATCTACTTAAAATGAAGATCTTGTGAAGCAACCACTAACTTGAGCTGCATAATTTTCACAAATTGTTCAAGCAGAAATTGGATAGAAAAACTGCTTTGGAGGGACACAGCTGTGGATTTTTTTTGTTTTTGTTTTTGTTTTTTTTAATAAGCCAAGATTCATAGCCAGTGTCCAACCCTTTGTTAGGTGCCTTGGGTTGTACTCCCTAATTGAACTTGAAACCAGGACAGGTTTAGTTTGTTTTAGGACAGAACAAGATGCTGGTACAGCTAATACTCCTATTACACAGCAAATTTAAGTGTGGCAGCCGGGTTAGGATTTGACTGTGCTCTAACCAATTAAAAGGACCGCCTTGTGCATACTGTTATACTAAAACTGCAACCATTTATCTGATGGAAAGTAATGATTATTTCTAAAACTAGAAGAGCAAGGACCAGTGAATTAGTTTAATTCTAGGAATGGTTAAAAATGGTTGTCTGTACTGCAAAATGGAAATATGTTTTTCCTACAGTCAAAATACCTCATTTTCTATAATAGATGGAGTCATTTTGTGCAAAGTTTTTATTCCAAAGAATGTTTTCCTAGTTTCAAAGCCTGTAACCTGTCTGAAAGAGAGAGGAGGCCAAAGCTTTGGACTCATAACACTGACCAGCTTTATATTTTCCTGACTTTTAAGGATTTAGGTTTGTAGGAATGTTAATCTAGGAAGCATCAACTTTTCTCCATCATAGAAACTGAAACGTTAAGTAAAAACCCGTTGCAGTGGACTTATAGTTGTGTATTTTTAACTAACATTTACTGTCACTAACCTTTTTTCCACCAGAGCCAAAGCAATTGCTACTAATTAGTTAGTTTTATGTAAAGATTAAGTTTTTGGATGAAATAAGGTTCTGATCATGTTTATTTTATAAACCTTGGACTACCTTCATAAACATTTCCATTTGCAAAAACACCTCGTGAATTTACTGAAAAAACATCCTTTTGGTGTAAGGGCCAAATCCACAGAAGTTTTTAAAATGCAGTTGTGTACTCAGGTAGGCAATTTTATATGCCTATGATAGCATGTTGGAATTAAGAGGTGCTTTCTAGCACAATTATCTGGGTCAATTTCACATGAATTCTTTTCGTAAGAAACAGATCTTTCATTTTTGTGGAGCCAGTGATATAGCTCTCTCTCACTTACTCAGCACGAAGTATTTATTTGAATAGTTTTCTTTTCACACAATGGATTTCAGAAGTTTATACTTTGTGTTCCTTTTCATGTAATGATAGTGGCATATATGTAGACTTAGGTTCCATAGGCCTGAATGGAGAATACATTAACCACAGGAAGGCCTTGGTTTCATAATCTAAACTGTATTCCCATTTTAAAAACCTCTCTTAATGTTAGCATACTTACAACTTTTCTAAGCTTATAAATTAAGAAAAATTTTGAATATGTCACTACATAAGCAAACCAGTACCTCTCACCTTCCTTAATATCATTTTGTTCCCAATTTCATATTCAATTTCTTGATGAGTTCTTAACTCCCCCCTATTTAGAATAAATAGCTCTTACATGTATAAAATTCTGTGTTGCATTTAACTTTAGAAGATGATGTTTATCCATCATGCTAGAACTACTTAAAATGTGCTTGTGTGTGTGTGTTTAATCCTGCATTTAGGTAAAAGAGTACAGATTCGAAAAGCACCACAGAGTATTTTAGATGCTGCTCCTGAAAGGAAGAGGTCAACCCCCATGAACCCTGCAAATACAATACGAAAAACTCATGTAAACAACACTGTTTCTCAGCGACCGTATAGGGACAGGGTGATTCATTTACTGGCACTGAAAACCTACAAGAAACCAGAGCTACTTGCTCGCTTACAAAGAGATGGTGTGAATCAAAAAGACAAGAACTCCCTTGCAGCTATACTTCAACAGGTAAGACTTGCTAAATCAGATGCCCTTCCTGTTCTTTCTGTTTCTGCTGCTGTTTTTCTTAACATAATTCAAGAGAATGTTGCTGCCATATTTAAATTTTAAGTGAGTGCTCACTGCAGTTCAGAAGTGGGCACACTTTATTGATATTGCCTCTTTGATGCCATATTCTCTGAAGATGTAGCCTGTATTTGTAATTATTAAAATTTAATTATAAGTTTTAAGGAGTTTGTAGTAGTCTGTAAGAGAAAAAAATGACAACTTCAGAAACCCTCTGAAGCGTTAAGGAATACTTGTATAGATTTTTTGTGGCTCTTATTTTTTGTGCTGTGTTCTTTTCCTTAGAAATTTCATGTTATTTCAAGATGTTCATAGCGGTTCACACTAATTCATAAAGGAATGTGTTTACTAACCCATTGTGGTGTATCGGGAAAGGGACTGATTGGAATTGGCAATTTATACAGATTTGTATCTCATTATTTAAACAAGTATAATACACTGTGAAGGAGGTTACGTACCAGCCTTTAGTCTTTTACCAGATATTTACTTTACTTAACTGTCTCAGACCTGGGATTTTTTTCAGTCACAGTAAATGAAAATACTGGTGTTCATTTTTACATTAGAGCAGTTTGCTCTTTGCTCAATATGGATATATATATTTGAGAAGAAAATGCTGTCCCTTTTGTAGATGGAAACGTTGTTATAATGGATGAAAATGCGTCGTACGTAGAGTAATATTACGCAGTGTGTACATATGCACACTGATCCTGAAAGTGATGAGGTAAACTGACTTTCTCCGTTGCGCTGTTCAGACACTGCTTGAGCTGTCATGGGTAGCTTGCAGTGTCAGTCTCTTGAGTAAATTACAGCTCTTCTCCAAGGCCGTCATTTATTCCTTGTTTAACTCTTATTGGCAAACCCTTTATTCACTGGCGCTGTCCATGAGCTGTAACTTCTTAGAATTATAATTCTTAGGAAAAAGTAGGAGCTTATCATACCTGACCAAAATTATCCTTGAGTGTGTGTTGTAAAACTATAGGAGTACTTTTTGATTTTGGAGTCAAGGGTCTGAGTTCTCATTTCACATCCCATTAGAGATGTTCTGAGAAAATGTCTTCTAGTATTCCTCTGTGCCTGTTGCCTCCCAGCTGGCTTCCCAAGTTAGTGACACAAGCTTTATTTTACTCATCTGTCTATGCCTGAAAGGCTTTAATTAGTCTCGTTATGGTTGAATCGATTCTTTATATTAAATTTGCATGAAATTCTGTAGCTTCTGACCCTATAGCTGTTAGTACATTGTCTTTATTCTGTCTTCTATAAAAACCGCTTTTAAGCATTTTTATACTCATTTAATAGATGGACAGTAAAAGACTTAGTCCCGGTTTAAAAATCAATTTAAAGGGCTTTTTTGGGGGTTACTTTAGATTTTAAAAAAAAGAAAATTGATGGAGTATGTTAGGCATTGTTGCTTTTATTATTATTTTATGAACAATCTAAATCTTGTAAAAGAAAACAGCATAGATAAAGAAAGGAAATGGGGTACAAGACAAAACAATGGCTTGATGTTAATCTGGATTAATGGAGGGAGGGTATAGCTAATACACTTCAGTTTATGTCTACATTTTCAATCTGAAGATACTTGGCATATCTGTCTAAACAAAAGAAATAGTTTGAATAGGGAGATTAAAATATTCATGGTCAGTCTTCACTTAACTGTACAGTTTAGAAGTAAGCACTAATTTCTGTACTTGTTAAGTTTAATACTTACTGCTTACTAATGTTGACATTAAAATCCTAAATGTGCAGGCCTGCACAAATGAGTAATCAGTGCAACAAGTACTCTCCACCCACTGTCCTCCTTGGCCATATATAGGCAAGGCAGGGACACACTTTGTTCATACATAGTCTCATAACCTGTCACCTCTTGTGACATGTGCCGTGAAAATGCCTGGAGTACTGTTGCCCTTTAGAAGCCAGTGGGGATGGGTGCTGATTTGGTGCTATGTTTAATCTGTTTTGAATCTCAGTTTTAATTTTGAGTTCTGTAAGGTAACCCTTTTATCAATAGTAATTAAAATGTACCCTTGTTGAGAAAATATTACACTGTATAGTCCTGCACTTGCTCGTAAAATTGTGAGCTTACATGTAGTTAGTGTGTGTGCATGTAAAACCAACAAACAAACAAACCCTTATCCTGTACTGAAAATGCTGCTTTAATCCTGTTTCAACTGCATCAACCATACTCCATGTGGCTTTGGTGGGGTTTTGGTATCTCTTTTTTTTGTTTGTTTGTTTTTTAATTGGTTCTAACACAGTACAGTGACACAGTCTTTTACAGGCACAGTGCAAACGTTCAAGTCTTAGTAATGGTATCACAAAGAACAAAATTACAGATATAACAGGACAAAAGAACATATTTTAAGACAAAACATTAAACATTTGATCCACTAATGCACTCTTACACTAAGATTTGTTCTTTTAGCACCAATTCTGTCCAAGAAAGAATTTGAAAAATAGCTAAAACTGCTTAAAGTATCATCTTGTGCTCATATGCATGTCAAAATGAAGCTTTCTTCAACATCTAGATAAGGGTAAACAGGCAAATGGCCAGTTTCTAAACTTTTGGAGGGGCAAGAATTTGGTGCGATATAGCTGGATCTAAAATGAGATTTGAAAAGAAGTTACCTAATTACCACTTTGGCATAGTAGGCCTCAGTGAATGTGAGCTTTTGCCAGCTGCTTGCTTGCTTGTTTGTGCAAACATGATGTATTGCATTTCGAGAAAGGAGGAAGTTTATTTGAATCTATCTTAAAGCGGAGCATGCATAAGTTTGAGGCATTTGCTAGTTTGGAATTATAAACATAGTGTGTTTTTTGTTTTGTTTTTCTGGGAATTTGTGGCTCTGTCTTTGCATACACAAAGCTTTAACACAGGATAACATCCCGTGTTAGTTGCACTAACATATGAACATCCCGTGTTGGTTGCACTAGTGCTAAATTTTTTGTTTAAAAGTCTAGCTGGCAGTGTCCTTGGCTACAGTTGTTATGCCTGTCCTCAGTAAACTGACTCTGGGGGTTTTTTGGGTGCATCTCAAAAAAACAGATAAAAACAAAGCAATAACAAAAATACAGCTAATCTGACATCTATGCTGTTTCTCTACCATTAAAGGGAAAATTCAGTATGAGGTCTAAACTTTCTACCTGGACCTGTCTAATGGAATGCTACAACTTCGTGTAGGCAGTGTGCATGTACCGAATCCCACAACCCAGTCACTTGGAAAACAAGATGAACCATCTACTTTTGCTGTCATTTCTCTAGATAAATAAAGTTGCGTTTGCTGGCAATACAGTTTTAGTTAATAATATTCCTAGAGCTATATTCACTTTCCTCTGTTGATTGATGCTCTAATATTCTTGATGATTAATGATTACTCATTAATGATTTGGATGATGGGTTTCAGTGTATATGCTTAGTAAATCTGTAGATGATACCAAGTTGGGTGGAGTTGCAAACACTCTGGAGGGCAAGGCTAGGATCCAGAATAGCTTAAATAAACTGGAAAACCAGTCCACAATGAATTAGATGAGATTCAGCAAAGACGGGTGCATGGTCCTGCACTTGGCACAGAATAGAAGCCTAGGGAACGCCTGGCTGGGCTGCAGTACTGCAGAGAAGGACCTAGGGGTTACAGTAGACTTCAATATGAGCCAATAGTATGATCTTGCTACAAAAATAAATAAGTAAATAAAATAAAGCCAACACCATACCTGTCTGTATTAACAGGAGCATCACTTGCAAATCAAGGGAAATAATTCTTCCACTCTGTTCAGCAGCAGCGAGGCCTCACCTGAAGTACTGTGTCCAAGTCTGGGCCCCACACTTAAAGAATAATGTGAACAGATTAGAAGGAGCCCAGTGCAGAGCAACAAAAATGATTAGGGACTGGAGAAGCAAGATTTATGAGGAAAGGATAGAAGAACTAGGATTAATTTATTCAGGAGAAGAGAAGACTGAGGGGGGGATTTGAGAAATCTTCAAATACCTAAAGAGCAATTAGAGAGAGGATAGAGGTGGTTTTTTTTCTGTGACTGAGGAGCAGGACTAAGAGCCATGGCCATAGGCTGCAGGAGGGGAAATTTAGGTTGGAGATTAGGAGGAACTTTCTGTCATGGGGGTGGTCAAGCATTGGAACAGGCTACCAAGATAATTTTTTGAATTTCCATCCCTGAAAATTTTCAAGAGCAGGTTGGACACACAATTGTCTGGGATGGCTAAGTCAGGTTGATTCTGCCTTGAGCAGGGGCCTGGACTAGGTAACCTTGAGAGGGTCCCTTTCACCCCTACTTTCCTGTGGTTCTAGGTCAGAAGAGTATTTCCTCCTGTTTCAGTAGACATATATACAAAATGCTTTTGAATACCTAAAATTAAATTCTAAAGTTGTTTGTGAGCACACAAATATGTATAGGTCTGACATCAAGATGCATTGACTTGTAATTCCTCTGGAACATCAGGCCATTCTCAAAATACATAAATGTGTGCAGCCAGGATTATAAGAAATCATGTGAGCCAAAAATTTTAAACTGTATCCTATATAGGAAAGGTATATTGCATGTCACAGAAATATGCATGGTAGTACCTGAAGGAAATACATTTTGCCAAGATGTCTATGAATATTTAAAATTTCTGCATCCAAGATGATCAACCTTCAGTGTTGAAAATTGGTGTTTAAGTGGAAGGCCTGGCTGACCTCAAAATCAAAAGCTAATAAGTAAAAAGGAATACACTTTCTGATATTATACTTCCAACCTATCCTATTCTTTCAGGCTGTCTTTTCTGCCCTAGTATTGTAGCTTACCAAAAGCTTTAATACTTGTATTTTTTAAACGTATATAGGTAGCCAACTTGAATCCCAAGGACAACTCTTACACTCTGAAGGATTATGTATTTAAAGAGATTCAAAAAGACTGGCCTGGATACAATGAAATAGATAAACAGTCATTGGAATTAATACTTTCTAGGTAAGTGCAGTCTGTTTTTCCTTTAAACGTAGCAGTAAAAAGATACTTTGTCTGGGAAGTAACAGGCACTTTTTATTTCTTCCCAATTAATGAAAGATCTGTTAGTCTTTTCTTGATTTGCCTTGTAACCTGGAATGTGGGTAATCTTTACAGAAAACTAAATTCATCTCAGAATGCCACCAGCACCAGTCATTTGGAATCTCCTCTAAGTTCTGTTAAAGATGCTACATCAGCTTCTCCTTCCCAGGTATTTAATTTGTAACTTTCTACCTTATATATATGGTGCAATAAGATTAGATACTTAACAATTTGTTATTGGTGTGAAAGCTTTCATAATGTAATACGAGTCACCAATACCATTTTAATGTATGGAAAAGATGAAGCAACTATTTTTATATACTTGTGTGGTGACAAACTATGAAGTTACACAAATAGTTGCACCATGAAAGCCTGTGGGACTGATTGATACACAGTGCTTTTTAAATTTATAGTCAAGTAGCTGAAGAGCTCCTAAAGTTGGTATTTGTATTCTTCATAAAATGTAGCCCTGTGTTTAGTGATCCAATCAGGGTGGTGGTAAACAAAACTCTAGAGAGACCACTTACCAAAGATTTTGCAAAGGTACCCATGTTCTCCAGCTGTACCCATCACTAGTGTCTGCATGCTTTAAAAGTCAAGCTAGAAAGTAATAGCATATTGGCAAACATTTGTGGTTTTAAGCTTAAAGTTAACTACTTAGGTATCCATTATTGCTATACAATTACCACATACTTTCTGGTTGATAAATCCTTAGATAAGTCTTTTGACAGTCTGAAATAATTTTATCTTGGTATGTCTTCATATTTCAAATCAGGGTAGTATAGTCCACCCTGTTTTGAGCTGTGGGGGTTAACTTTCTCTGTATTGTATGACTGTTTTTATATCTGGTATTTATGGAATGCAGGCAGTCTTACACTGCTTTTGTTTTAGCCATTACCTTATGTGCAGTATACAGAAAGGCCTGGTTTACTGTAGTTTAGGACATCGGTGTTCTGTTACTTGAAAACTATAAACCTGATTTTGCTATATGTATTGCTGCATATTGGCTATGTTCATCATCCAGTGGCTAAAGGATAGAACTGAACTGGGGCACTTCAAGTTTTAGACTTGGCCTAGCTACAAACTTGTAAGACCTTTTGAGAAATCTTTGATCTCCCTTTTGTGTCTCATTTTCCCTTCAGTGATATCAGAATAAAAACCTATTTTTTTTATTCAAAACAATAGCACTTGAAGATTTTCAGATATAAGCCACTACGAAGAGCATCACTATGATATTTGAAATCAGTAAACCTCTATTTCAGCAAAAGCAAATGTTAAAAGTTAGTGGTGGGAACTTGTATTTGCTGCTTTGGAACAGCTGAAACAAGTGCTGAATACCTTGTTCTAGGACCGTTAACACATTTATGATAGGAGAAATCAGTGCATGATTGTTACTTGTCAACCTTAGTTACTGCTTCCCAGAAGAACAGTGAATGATATAAACTGCCTGGTTCCCTCTTTCTCTCACTTCACTATACACAGAATCTGGAAGTAGTTCAGCTGTGTAGTACAGAGCTGTGCCTAGTACTTCTGGTCAGAGGCACTGCCTTGTACTGGAACATAAGCAGTATATGCTTGTTAAGCAAGCTGGAATGAATTGGATAATGTTTCGGAGAAACTCCAATATCATCTAGAAATTACTTAAAACCCAAGCTAGCTATAGCAGAAACCAGATATTTCCTGTCCGCTCCTGTCTCCCTAATGCTTTAAACCAGTGATTCTGGTGCCACCAGTTCATGTGAAGAGTGCTGAGAGGAGATAAGCAGATAAGCATAGGCTAAGGCTTGTCCCTACCTGGATGATTCCCCATCCCCATTGCCCAGCCCCTCTGCAAGAAGATAAGCACTGTAACATATAAATCAGTTTTTGAATGTGGGTGCCACCCAGTTCACAAAAGTTATGGAGGGTGCCTCAAGTCCAAAAAGGTTGAGAATCACTGCTTTAGACATTCTTAAAAACATTGTGTCCCAGATGGCTTGGAACTACTTGAATAAAAGACAGTCTGTATTGGAGAAGATGTATTTATTTAACGTGTACTTTCTGCCTTAGGTTTCTACGAAGTACTGACTAAACTGTTTTGTTACAGCCTGATTATGTGGGAACTATTGGGCATCTATACACGTGCTCTAGAGTAGGGGGAGAAGGGCGGGTGCTTTAATTAGAGTGGCTCTGGGAGCCGTTCTAATTAAAGTGCCCGCAGTGTCACGTGCATTCAGCATCCCATGCTTCAAAATGGTGGCCAGGTTGCTTTAACTAAAGCTCATTCAACAAGCTTTAAAGTGCCCCCGCCACCATTTTGAAATGTGGGGTGCTGAATACACGTGACACGGAGGCTAATTAACACGCTCCAGCAGACTCGCAGCAGACTCAATTAATTGAGCAGAGCTCTGTCACATGTATAGGTGCCCATTATGTTATTCCAAGGTCTTGGCCGTAGATTTGAAGGGGATCTCAGGATAAAATAAATGAAAAACTATCTAGCACTTTTTTGAGCTTGACACAAAGCACATGCTAAGCTGTCAGTCAGGATCTTTCTTATCTAAAAAAGACCAGCAACATAAGTCATGTTGTTTTAATAATCAACCAATTTGAGATTGCAGGCACTGTACTGTAGAGGTGGACTAAACTGAAACTAACACACTTTCTTTTATTGCAGAAACGGCTTTTGGATTCCGATTTTATTGATCCTTTAATGCCTAAAAAACCAAGGATATCTCACCTTACCAACAGAGTTCAACCCACCTTAAATGGTCACTTGACTGCTTCCAATGAGAAACCTGCTGCAGCTCCACCACCACCACCTCCCCCTGCAGCTGCTGCCACCCCAGCCCCTCCGCCACTTCCTTCAACTCACCTTCATGTTTCAAATCCTCCTCAGACTGTAAACTCTAACTCCAATTCCCCTAGCACTCCTGAAGGCCGGGGCACTCAAGACCTGCCTGTTGACAGTTTTAGTCAGAATGGCAGCAGCATCTATGAGGACCAGCAAGAAAAATATACCTCTAGGACTCCTTTGGAAATGCCAGCATCCACTGCAGTTCAGTTGGAGTGCCCAAAGTCCACGGATGAGAAACATTCCGTGTCTCACAAAAAATCCAAAAAGAAGTCAAAAAAGCATAAGGAGAAGGACCAAATCAAAAAACATGACACTGTGTGTGTGGAAGAAAAGGAGAAAGACCTTAAGAAAGAGGAAATTGCCAAGCTGAAAAATTCTTCCGCTTTGGATTCAAGTGAAGGTATTAAAGCACTGCTTTTTAAATTACTGGATGATCCAACCTCTATCCACTGCCTCTTCTACTACTGTAAAATAGGGATAGCGTTTCCTGACTGTCTTTACATAGCACCTTTCGCCTGAACCAAAATGCAGATTAGTGCTTCTGTTTTTCTTTTACATTCTTAGGGAAGAATGACATGCATTCAAATAGTATACCTAATATCTTGCTGTATTGGAATTCCAAACTATGAATGTTCTATAGGCTTATTTTTGGTAAGATTTCAGCCTTTTTTTATTACAGAAGCAATTTGGATTTAAGAGTTCTAAACAAGTCATTGAATAGTGGTTGTCTGGAAGGGATCATTGACTAGTGCAAACAAGAACGAATAATGGAATTTTTTTCTAGGCTTTTTGTGTTTTGAACTAAGGAGTTCATGTATTGTCTTAAATATTGACTGTATTCAAATCAGAACTTGGGTACCAGAACTATTTTATTGCAAGCTTTAGAGGATTACTGTGATTTCTTTTATGAAAATATTCCTCAAGAGAGAGAGAATTTATTCAACATGGTTCTTGACTTTTTGTAGGTTTACAGCTTTAGTCATTAATAGTGACTGAAAGATTTGCCCCGTGAAAACTGTTACATTTTACAAATCAGCAAGTAAAAGTATGCACACTAAAAAAGCAAGGGATCATGTTGCATAACATGCCAACTGCAGTTTCATTTAAGCCCTGCAAAGTACAGGAGAAGGTAGAATTTCTAACTAACATCAGTAATTCTACAGTGATTTTCACAGTGGTATGGGCTAGGCAATCTCATCTCAGTCAGAAATCAGATTCAGCCCTCGACTACCCTAAGCAATTGTTTCAGAAAACAGAGAATTGTATAGATTGCGTAAGCTTTTGAAGGCACCTGTGCTTCTGTAGAATGCTGACTACATTACAGTTGTGTCTTTCCAGTTCATTTAAATCCTTCATATCGGTGTCCTTGTGGAATGGAGTTTCTCTGAAAATCTTTTGTGCTCAATTCATGTTTGTGTTGGCATCAAGGATGCTCTTTGTCTAGCAGGCAGCCAGTTGTGGAATTCTACAGGCCTGGAAAAATTCAATATTGTCCCCTAGACTGATACTTATTTTGGTGTAGCACCCAAAATAGCTGGGTAGTATTGAAACATAGTGACATGGTGTTCAGTGTTTTCATTTAAAATAATCTTTTTAAAACTTGAATTTTACTCTCAGCACTGGAAAAGGTTTGTTTGGATAACATCTTTCATGTCCCTTACTAAACTGAGTAAAACTATTCAATTGCTCATATATTTTCTGTAGAAAGTGGTACAAAAAGGCCACTTAATTTTATACCAGATGACTTTATTCTGTAATCCCTTTAATTCAGGTACTGTATGAACCATTATGTGATCACTTTTCTTATCTGAATATAATATTTTTTGGAAATTATATTTTGAAATGATTAGAGCCTTGGCAGGAACATTTGTTTTTAATCAGTACATAAGGAAGTAATAACAATAATAGGATGGTTATGTAGGATGGTATTTGAAACTTACTGACAAAGCCCCAAGTGAAATATTAGTTTTACTAGCAGACTTTTTGAACCTTCTTCTCCCTTTTCATCTGTGTGAGTATATATACTTTGAGGAAGAATTTATAGAAATGCTTATATTTACAGGATTTTCCTAAAATTAAATTCCTAGAATAAATATTCCTCATCTATATCTCTTGCAAACAGATGGGCTAGAAACTGTATGTACCTTACTTTTGTAACTTCATCCTGGAGGGCAGCTTATTTACTTGCTTTTTGCGCTTGTAAAATCCAGTGTTGCCGTGTTAATTGTAAAGGAGCATTCTCCTGAGGATTATTGAAGACTGAATATCAAATAGACTAGCATAAAATGATAGAGATTCCCAAACAAGAGAAAAATGGTGAAATTAAATCAAGCTTTGCATACCCATAATTGTGGGAAAAGCCTTCAGTAAGAAGAGCACTTTAGCTTTCCACCCCATTGTTATGTATTACGGTCCCATGAAAGCTGGATGTCGATATAAAACTATCTCCTATTGTGTGGCTACATCTGCCACTGCATATCTTGAATTGCTGTGCAGATGCCACAACTTGTCTTGAAATAAAAGAAGGTTGACCTTGGGTTAAGATTGAATTACTTCATTGTACAGCTTCTGCAGCCACTAGCTCAATTTTTAAACTTCTGGTATCGGTTGTTGTAGAATTGATCATATGGCCCCTATTGTAAATGTTAAATTGTGCATCTTATTCATGATTACCAATTGAGACAATAGAATGGGAATTTGGAGTAGGAGCATTCCAGACTCTTCAGATCTGTATCTTTGGGTATAGTGGCATTCTGTGATAAAGATGTCAAACTTTTATTTACCATAGGAGTTAAAGAGACCTGCACTGCCTCCACAGATCCTTCATCAAAAAGTGAACTACCAGACTACTCTATGTAAGTAAAACTGTATCAAAAGTTATCATAATTCATACTGTTCACAGAGGCTATTCAGAAAGCTCCTGTAAAAGTTCTTGTAGAACTACAAAATGTAACTTTTAAAAAGACCCCATCACCGCTGCTCATTCTAAAATTAGACCAGATACTTTATGTGAACACATGTATATTGAACCTCTCTGAGCTTGTCCCTTCAGTTCTAGTGATCAAGCTGCCTTTACGTATCTGAAAAATTTTCTTTCAGAAGCACTCAGACAGAAATTTGTTTTGCTTCAGTCCTCTCTGCCTGCTCACAAGAACAAAATAGACAAAGGAGGTAGACATGGAACTTTTTTAGTAGCTAGGCAATCTAATGGGCAAGCTGAATACAGAAATATTGAAATCACTCAGAGCACTATTTTCTTCTATTTGGTATCATTTTTATAGACCAGCTGATACCTTAGTCACAGTAGATAAAATTTACTCTATAAAATCATTGAATTTAAAATCTTTTAATTTAAAAAATGCATTCAGTTTAAAATTATATATTGGCCTTGATATCAGATGATATAATATTTAAGACCTACACTTACTAAAATCTATTAAAAATAAATATATCTTGGCTCACTGATTCTTCAAATTTTAAATGATGTACAGAATCAGAGGATAAGTCTTAACTTGGTGTCAGGTAAAGCTTGATTAAGTGTTGTAATTTTAGATACCTAATATAATTCCATTTTCTGTCTTCACAATGGAACGAGTGCTGTTTTTTAATTTTTTTCAAATACAAGTACTTTTGATTTATGTTGAACAGAAACACTTCTGCCTTAATGACTTCCATGTTTTAGTTAGTAAGAAAAGAGAAAATACTTTATTTGTACTCGTTCATTTAAAATTGAAAAAGCAGAGAAGTGGCATGTTCCTCTCCCAATCCATGAAGAAAAGCCAAGTGGGAGAGGATGGGATCTACTAATTCTAAATGTATAGAGGCCAGATTGTCAAAGGTATTTAGGTGCCTGAATTTGGAGGTGGGTGCCAAATGAGTGCAGGTTGGAGGCCTAACTCATTGGATTTCCTATTTATTTCAACTTCTATAAACATTCAGATAGAATTTTATTTTACCAGCTAAATATACCTTGAATGTGCTAAAAACAAAGAGTAAGACCATAAATGTTTGTTTTACAATTAAAAGTGATTTAATAAAATAAATAGTAACTCTGAACTGAATCGAGAAGATTGTTTCTGGTTTAGCCCAGATTTTCAAAAGCATTTAGGAACCTAGCAGTAGAAGTAGGCACCTAATGGGATCTTTCACAAGTGCCTAATTAGATTAGAGGCCTACCTCCTATTAAAGTCAATGAGAACTTAAATGAGTGAAGTTCTTTGTCTGCACTAGCATTTGCCAGATGAATTTCTAAGCAGAGCATTGAGAACACTGAAAAGAAAAAAATGTTTTCATTTAGACTCTTTCCTGTCATTTGCTCCAGTCATTAGCCCCCTCCCTTAATTTAACTCTACTACATATGAAACTATTAACTTCTTAACCCTGCCTAAAATTAAATACTGGCTGACTTTCCTATAAGTGATGTTACCTTCTACTTGTGACCTCTAGCCTGCACAAATGGAATGGTCAAAGAAGAATAGCATTATACACGCTTGAGTTCCCTTGGGGTTAGAAGAGCGCACTGCTGTTTCACTAGATCTGGGCTTGCCTTGGGAAGTGATCAAAGGGTTTATGCATTTCATGTTTGGGAGATTTGTGCTATAGGGTAGTTCATATCTCTGACTAGGTCCAAGGAAGGATTTGGTCCTGCATCCACCCTGGCAATACTACTGCCTGATGTTTCTCCTGGTATGAGGCTCAGTCTCTCATTCTTTCCTCCCTTCTTCCCCTCCCCCCTTTCCCCTCTCCCCTGAATAAAGAGTTATTTAAGGCACCTTAACAATGCAGCAACATTTGAAGTAAAAATTTAATCAGGTCAGTTTTTATTTGTCCCAATTCTAATATTTCAGAAGTAGTAGTCTTAATTCTGAATAAGATCTCTGCTGTTACCTCCGATATACCCATACAGTCTTGTATTCCAGTGAAGACCATAACGCTGTGAAGGACACCATAGGTGATGCATAGGAGGGGTATGGTGGGGGGCACTTGACCCCCATGAGATTGGCTGCCGCCAGCTTCTGCGAGCAGTCACTGCTTGCTCTCCCCCTCCCCCCCTTGCTGCCAACGCAGCCAACGGCATCTGCAGGCAGTCCCCGCTTGTCACCCCCCCGCCACCGACACCGCTGGCAGCGACTGCAAGCGCTCGCTGGCAGCTGCGGGCAGTCCCCACTTGCCACCATGGTGTGCCCCCAGTCTCAGGAGGCACCAGTCGTTCATGAAGGACACTGCAATTTCTATGACAGATTCTGGTGTAGGGCAGGGCTTAAGACATCAAATAATGGATGATGATCATATGACCATATTAAATATAGTTTTGATACTACTCCAAATATGTAATGAAACTATAAAACATGAAAAATTTTACAGTGGATCAAATATTTGCTCTCTAGGTTAGTTCAAGTTTGAACCTTTCAACCCTTTTGAAACGCTCTCTTCCTCACTAGTAGTAGTAATAGATAACATACATGCATAAGGATAAACTTGTTACAGTACAGCTTAATAAAGTAGCTTTTGTTAATGTGCGCTGCATATGCATTAGCACGGATCATGGTAATCTCTTTATCTGTGAGATACATGCCTAACTACAGTTGCATCACTTCTGTCTTTTCGGAATATTCCAGGGCTGCCTGGCACCAAAACACTATTAATTGTGGCTAAACCACAGAAACACTTCTGTTTTATGATCACTTCTTTAAAGAAACTTCTGATTTTATGCAAGGAGACTAAAACCAGTGCCCTCACTTTTTTTTAAAAATTGACCACTGCAACTCAAACAGCACTGTCTTCAGCAAGTAGGAACTTGAAAGTCAGTCAAACCCAACGTTTGAGATTCCTTTTGGTGGGAAGGGAAATATTTGTTTGATTTAGTGCATGGATTATAGCTTCCAAACATGCCCTAGTTGGAAAAAATCATGTCTTTAAAAATAGGCTTTGCAAAAGATATATTAATGCGAAGTCACAAATGTCAGCTACCAGAAAATATTAAACTTCGCAAACAGATCACAACCAAACTAGGACTTCTTCAGAAGAATATCTACTCTGCCACAGAATTGCTCACAAAATGGCAGAAAAGAGAGACCTCCAATTCAAAGTAAAGCTTCCAGGAGGGTAAACAGAGCCTTAATCATATCTGTATACAGGGAGATGCGGGAACAATTTTTACTCCACTTATATATGACACTTAAAAATTACAATAAGGGATATATATGTGTAGAGTCATGAAAATTAGTGAGCTAAAGAAGTTTTAGTTCTATGGCTTTTCATAGCAGATTAGTGTTTTCAGTACACTGAAAGCTAGATTTATTTGCTTAACTTCTGTCTTGTTGCAATGGCACATTAGACTTTTTTTCTATTTAAAAACGCTGCAGATATGAAACAACTGGCTTGTAGCAGTGCGAGTCTGTTGGTTACATATGTATTTTTAGAATATTTAAAACCAATATTTACCAGAAAAATTCCTCCGAACTGTTCTAAAAATCCTAGAGGCACATAGCTATTGCAAATGCTATTTTTCACTGTTTTATTTGATGGTTTTACATTTTTCTTCAAAATGGAAAAATTAAATCCTCATTCTGTGGAATATTTAAATGTATTTGCCACTCCCTTTTGGGTTCCTAACATAAAATGCTCTTGTATGAAAATGGTGGGGGAGGGGCAGCATAAAATTAAATAAATAAATTTAAAAGAGTCTGCATAGATTTTTTGGGGTAAGCTTTTAAACAAAAAACAACAGGTTTAGACTATGATAATTTTAAAGTCATGCAACTATATGTAGCTTTGCTGAGAGCAAAGTATTGACATAGCTCTAAGCCCTGGCAAGAATAGATGGAGGAGTCAGAGTTCCATTCCTTTATCTTAAGAGGATCCAGAGATGAATACTGAATAGATCAAAGCTGATCTAAATGCAATCCTGTGTTACATTCTTCTCAGCATATGACACTGGGATTGCAGTGCCTGTGGTGACTTGGACATTACAGCCATTTTGACTTCCCAGTATGTAGACAGTATTGAGTTTCGAATGAGATCTCTTTGGCTGAGGCAAAAGTCAGACATGACAGCCAAATTCTGGTGTATTGGGAAAACTGGAAAGATGATATCCGTCCTTCAGTGCTTTGTCTAATTGTTATTGTACACATTTGCAAGTTCACTTTGTATCCTCAGCTGACTGTGGCCACCTGACCTGGCCAGTGTGAATTTCTTGTTTGTGCTTGACACAGTTCTGGTTCTCCTTCCAGCTGAAGTCCTCATCGCACCTTGTTTTACAGCACTTGTCTTGTACTCCAGGCATTCAAATGAACTGAACACAACCAATTGTAATCTTATCCTATTAACTGTACTTTAATAGTAAAGATTGATACAAATCTGTCAAATCAAAAAAGGATCCCAGCCCATCAATTCAAACTCTCCAAAAAGCCACCAAAACAGTGGGCTTAGCAACGTGCCCAGAAGGCTGATATCTTCAGACTGACAGACCAAAAGAAATGGATCTAATAATTAATGGGCTTTCACAGGCAAAGATTTGCCAGCAGCTCTTCTCTTTTAAACTGACACTTTGGACCTGTCAAAATTGAATGCATAGTAAAGTTTTCTACATGCTTTTGCAGTTTGTCACATATGAAGAACAAAGTATTATATATAACTTGCCACAGAGATATTGTTTCTTAATTCTACAATAAATTCAGACTCCATATATCTTTTACCAAATTTAACCAACTAGCTGTTAAACTTGTTAGCTGTTAGCTTGTTAACTTGTTCCCAGGAGAAAAGTAATTTTAAACAACTCTCTTACATTGTTTACTGAGCTTACTTCTAAGAATGTTCCAGCTATTTGTAATGCACAATAACAATTTTTATACCAAAAGTACTTCATAGAAATTAAAATTATTTATTTTTTCCATTAGAAAATATATAGCTATTGTCTCATATGAGCAACGCCAGAGTTACAAAGATGACTTCAATGCAGAGTATGATGAATACAGAAGCTTACATGCCAGGATGGAGAATGTAACCAGAAGATTTATGAAACTTGATGCACAACGTAAGCTTCTTTCTCCGGGATCCAAGGAATATCAGGTAAAAAGAAATTAAAAAAAGCTGTATTTTTAATTTAACCAATTATTTTTACCTTCTGCTTTGTATGTTAGATTATTATAATCTTCTTCTTCCCCCTCCTCCTTTCTTCTGTCCTTCCCTGCAAAAATCCCCAACATTTACTCCAAATTCTTTTAAAACTAATTAAGTCTTTAGAGAAATTACTATAATTTAATGGAGGAAAAGAAGCTGCTTCATTTGACAGAACTTTTGTGCTGTCTTGGGTACATATATGGCCCTTTTTACTGTAGGATTGGAGCACCTTATGATCCTTAGTGTACATATCCTCACAGCAGAATTCAAGAAATGCTCTAATCTCCATTTCACAGCTGGGGATGAGAGTCACAAAAGGCTAAGTGATTTATCCAAATCCATACAGGAAGTCTGAGTCAGAGCAAGGATTTGAGCTCTGGTCTCCCAAGCCCCCAGCTGATTTCCTAACTAAATAAATTCCCAGGTGATATTGGAAAGACAAATTGAACTGGTCATTGCCATCTTGATTTGACACGTCATGAAAACTAGCAGCAATGAGCAAACCAGCAGGAAAGTGCTAGAGAGAGAGAAATTAACAGTACAAGAGAAATGAAAAATTACTGAGTTCAAATTTGGGGTCTCAAGCATGATAAAGGAAACAACTTTGCACAGGGAAAGCAACTGGCACAGATATAAAGATGAATAAGAGAAACTGCTGCAATTCTCATGGGTATTGTTACAGGTTAACTTTTCCAGACAAACTCAACTCCAGATTTGTAGCACGTTCTTTCCAAAGGGGTGCCAATAATTAACTTGTACTGACCTGTAGCATTCTCTGTGCAGGCTAATCGTGCAGTATGTGGCCTTGTAGGTTTTATACACAATCAGTGAGGTGATCTACTTTCCAGTGTAATACTCTTAGTAGCTTCTGCTTTTGGGCAGACTGAGCATATATTTTGGGGAAATGAGAAACATTTAATGCAAAATCTCTGGTTTGTTTGGTTTTTTTCTCTCCCTAACCTACACCTAAGATCTTGCCCGGTTTTTCAGGTCTCTCTCCTCTATTCTCCTTGCTTTAGTGATGTAACGTGACAGAACCAATAACTCTACTGCCGTTGGCTACTGACCCCAGTTTCTTTGACCTTGCTGAAAAGAATGAGCCCCAAAGTTAATATTGCCTCGGGCTGTATTAACTCTCAGTAACTCCCACGGTTTTTTCAGGCTTTGGGAAGATATAAGAAGGTCCTTTTTCCCTTCACTCAAGGTCCTGTCTGCTCCTGAGTTAATCCCCAGCTATGCAGCATCTCATAAGGGTTGTTGAGAAGGTGGTTATCAAAGGGCATCTTCAAACATGGCAACTTTTCTGTGATGCTATCTCAACTGTCTCTGTAGACTTGCAGTTCTCTGTAATGCAAAACATAGATAGCCGAAGTGTGCATGTCTGTATTAAAACAATGTACCCAATTCCACTACTCCTTTGTTAATATTCAGTTGCACTTTGTAGCCGTGCAATATTCCCCAAGTGATGTTTATTTAATTTTCTTTCTTGCAGGTCCTTCATGAGGAAGTCCTAGAAGAATATCGGAAGATCAAACAGGTGGGTAGCTAAACTTGTTCTGGCAGAAGGCAGGGCAGATGGAACATTAAAGACTAACTTGTTCACAGAGGCATAAACTTGCAGCTGATGGCCTACTTTGTCAGGTGCTACATGTCTGACAAAGTAGGTTGTTGTTTATGAAAGCTTCTGCATCTCTGAACAAGTTAGTTTCTAAGGTGCCACTTTGCCTTGCCTTCTGCCTGACTGCTGACTAACAAGACTGACTACTTCTCTAAACCTGTTCTGTGGGAGGGGGCAAGAACAGAAATACCAAACACTAGATATTAATCTGTCTAATGGGCACTCAAATTTATGTTGGAGAAATATTTTTGCATGCTGACTTTTTTTTTCCCCTCCCCTTTTTCAGTCTAGTCCCAACTACCATGAAGAAAAGTACAGATGTGAATATCTTCATAACAAGCTGGCTCATATCAAAAGACTAATAGGTGAATTTGACCAACAACAAGCAGAATCTGTGCACTAGAGCGCTGCTTGGACCAGAAGATGTGAATAAACCTAAGCTTATTTATTTAAAATTCCAAATGAGTTGCTCTCAGATTCTAAAGATTAAACTTGTGCATTACAAAAGTTTCAGTATTAGCGGACTTCAGTTACTACTTTTGTTGTTGCTTCTCTGCATATTTGAAGCTGCTTTTTTCTGGTCCCTTCTTTTCTTCAAGACTTATGTTTGTCCATGGAAATCATTTTACCAGTAGATACTGGGGACCCAGTGTCTCTACTTCGAAGTTGTGCACATTTAAAAAAAAAATAATAATGTAGCAAGTTAAAATGCTTTTGGATAAATATAAGCCTGTTTTCTGACCTTTCTTGTTAATGCAAACTCTTTGCCTTAAATGATAGAAGGTTTAGAAATTTGCACAAAACAATATAATAAAAGAGAGAGAAAGAAAGAAAACATTGTTTTGGAGGGTTAAAGAGGCATGTATATATGAAAGCTATATACAGTCTGTCTTTATCGACAACAGTAATTTACCCCTGCAACTTAAACCCCCATGCAATGGTTGCCTTAAGGTGTTTGCTTGTGTTATACTTACTGTAGTTAAATTATTAGCTACACTGCTTCCCAGTTTATTAAAGCAACAGGGAAGCATTCTGTGGCCTACCAGCGTCTGAAAGCGTATGCTTGTGCTGTATGTGTGCAAGATTGTGTGGGTGTGAGCATGCATGATGGGGGAAGAAAAAAAAGCTGCTACTCTACGTAGGCCAAACGCTCAGGTTAAAACAACTGACGAGTGTTGCTGTAGGTTTTTTTCCTATAAAATTGCTACTTCTCTTGTTGAAGACTAAAGCATTTCCATTTCAACAGTTTGTCAGCTTTAATAATGTTGGGGAAAATTGATACTTTACAAAAATTAAACAGATCTATAGTTTTTGGGCAAAATTATAAAATTAAACATGTAGGTAACCTATTTATATACTGCTATAAAGTATTTTTTTGAAGAGAGATATGCAAAGAAGTTACTGCCTACATGAAATATATATTTAAAGATTTTTCTCCTGGGTGCCAGGAATATAACAAACAGAGGTATTTAACTATAAAATACTGTGATCATCAAACAGCACAAACTTTCATTTCATGCAGTTTATTGGTTTAATTTGATTTAAACCATCATTTACTTTATCATGCGGGAACATAAGTTATTTGGTCAAAAGAATAAGCATTTTGAATTAATCTCTTTGTTTGTCTTACTGTATTTGTCTTTTAAAGTGCTGCCAATTGAAAAGGGAAGCATTATGTTTACAAATCTGATTTTGGAATGTTTGCCAAAATTTTGGTAGTATCTTTAATAAACTCTGTCTCCAGCATCAAAAAAATAATTGTTGTGTGTCACTGTAAACCAGAAAATGTTTTATGTAATTGTCAGAATATGTTCTAAAGTTCCTGGGAGTGGTGGAATTTAGATTTCAGTGTTTGTTTGACACATTACTTTCAATAGGAAAATTGGGTCGCATGTAAGACAAGTTGCTCTTATTATTACTTTAGAATAGAGTTAGTCTCACTAACACAATAAGTTGACACTTCAGGTGCTTCTTACTTTGATCATTGTAATTATTAAAGTCTGATTTAAGCTTTGATCTATTTATTTGAAATGTATAAAAAGATGCAAAGGAAATGTCATGCCTCCCATTGAAATCACCGGGAGCTGCATATGTGACCAAAACTCATTATGAAAGTAATGTACAAACTTCAGCACAGTGGTTTGTCACTGCACCAACTCTAGATGGTTACATACCAAGTTGAGGAGATGATAGGGAAATAATAATGGCTGTTCAGTTTAAACAATGAGTATATGATGTCTAAAGTTGGGACCATATTAGGCAGCAGTGTTCTTGCCTCTGAAATGTATGACATGCAAACCCACGCTCATAACATCACCTCAACATTACTCTGCTGCAGTTCTCACTGCCTAGTCACTATGTATAATACTGTCACTTTATAACTGAGCCCTACTGCAGTTGAAGCATTCACTTTTGTCCCTCTGTACAAAAGGAATGGCTGGTGTTGGCACATCTTCTGGATTACAGATTGTATCTGCAGCAAGAGGTTAATACTTCAGAGGTCCAGCATTGAATATTAGACCCAACACACGACTGTAAAGCCTTAATTTTAAATGTCATTTTTTGCATTGAGCATTTCTCAAGCCTTGCAAAACATACCCAACAGCTTACATATTGCAAAACAGTCCTGTCAATCAACATATCTGCTGTTTCCCTTGAGTCTGAATTCCTGTTGAGCAAATGTAACCGCCTATTCAAGTAGGGCTTCCAACAATATTGCCCTTTCTGCAAAATTTGCCAACTCATTCAAATGAGAAACAGATGAAACTTTGCAAATCCTGGCAGTTTGGCAAGTTACACTACTGTAAAGTTTGAATCTCCTGTTTGTTTTAGAGAAATGGTGAAGGGGTGACAGTGTGCATGTCTGCTTTTAGGGAAACCTGTGTGTCTTTTCACTACAGCTTTATCTTGAAACCTTTGAAACACTTGTGATGGTCTATTTAAATAGTTTCTGTCAAAGGGAAAAATAACTGTCCTAACTAGCAAAAAAGAACTCATACACCAAGGGGATTGTTTTTCAATGTTGCTGGGTTTTTGGGATGAGAGAAATTGAGGAAGGAAGAGAAGGATTAGCAAATATTTTAATGTTAGTTGGTCACTCTTAACAGTTGAAAGAGCTTTGTTTGCTGGTTACTTTTAAAAATTTGGTGTTAAATATTTCTAAGTCTCTGGTGGCTTTGCAAATGTGAAAACTTTCTGTTCCACCTAAAATTACAAGATGTCGTGAAAGGACAGGCGGGTTTATAAACTATTGAAACAAGGTGCAAGCAAAATTGAAGGATTTAAGAAATTCAAATACTGTAACTTTGCTCATTCAATTAATATTACTTTTACTTTTCATAGTGATACCCCAGCCAGTCCTTCCTTCTCTGGCACCATAAATGTTGATTCACGCAAAGACAAATAATACACCTATGCCCATCTCATAGGCTCCTTACAGCTAATTATTTTCATGCATTCTGACAAACCATTTCATTATGCATATGTGATGGCAAGATACGGCAAACATTTCAGTAACCTTCAATGTTTTGGGGAAGGATATTTAAACTGCCTAAAGGAAAACAATATTGGAGAACGAATCTAAGAGTGTTTTAGTAATGTGAAGGCTTAGAGGGCTGTAATCCCCCTCTGCAGACTTTTTGAAGTATTTTAAAACTTTTTAAATTCTACATGAACTGTATTAAGATTCCATAGACTGAAACACCCTTGGGGCATTTTGAACACTTGAGCCACTGTCGCCCCTCTGTTCTACATCAAATTCAATAAAATGTTAACTTTGCAATTCTGAGACTTGGTTTTTTGTTTCTTTATAAAGACTTAAATAATTGCACGTTCATCCACTTTTGTTATGAGAACGACTTTCCCACATTTATGTAATAGCCCAGACCAGCAGAAATGCAAGGACCATCTTAAGCTCTTTGGATGCTGTATAGGCAGTACACATGTTCTATGCTGCTCATTATGACACGTCATGAAACAGCATTGTTGGCCTGCTCTAGCTCTGGAAATGCTTCAAATGCTGCTGGCAGGAGTAGATGGGTGAAGAAATAGGGAAGCTTAAAGCAAGGATATAAAATTCATTCTACAATGGATAATCTCTTCTGTGGACAGCAGAGAGCCTTTACTAGCAAAAGGCACATTTCACCATCTTGCCCGACTGCAGAATGTGCCTCTTCAGTTAGCAAAGTTTAAAAATGGTATTTAAGCTAACAGCTATAGCATTTCCTTTTCTCCTTTGTGCACTTTAAGGGCAAAGTCCCTTTAAAATCCCCTACAGTCAATCCCCTTCATAAATCTTTCCCTGAGTATGTTTCCCCCTCCCCACCACTCTGGGAAAAGCCCAGGGTGTTTCTGGAGAGGGAATGTTTTCTGTAGTAGGAACTATGGCAAAATAGTGTCATGAGAAGCAGCTGGTTTCCCAGGTCACCTGCCATGAGACTTGGCAACCCTTGTGTAAAAGAGGTGAATTGGGCCTAAAACAAGATGTTAATTTAAGCCCTTTGTTTTATTGTCAAGGCAAATGCTTAATCCTGTAACAAACCAGTTATCACTCGCCTTCTCCCAGAATAGCAATCATTCAGAAATTATTAATCTAATTGTTAATACATAGCAACATACTTGAAACTCTGAGAAGACTTGCATGTTTTAGCAGCTTCTCTTACCCTTTTTCACTGGTTACACTTTAGCAGTGCAGAGGCTCATCCACCTCACTGTTTGCAAGGCACTAGTTCAGAGGGCATGAGATGGTATCTAACTTCCTTTTGAGAAGAAAAATATTGGTTTAAATGGTCCTGAGTGGCTAAAAGAACAGCAAAATTTGGGAATGCAGCTTCTGCTGTTTGTGAGGGCAAATTATAGGTAAATGGTCCTAGCTAGCCAGCCAGTGATCTGCAAGGTTGAGAGGCTGTTTTAAAGTATTGCATTTAGCTTTTTCTTTTTTTCCTGTTTACAAAAAGTAGTGATATGGCCAACTATGCTAGGTTCCTGCTAGGGGCTCTGCATAATTGTACTAATTTAACATTGCTAAAATATTTTCTGCTTATACTGTGTATGTACTTCCACTAAATGTTAAGCACATGAGCATATAAGGGCATTGCATGATTTTAATTATTATCTCTTAGGATAAACATTTGAAGATAAGGCACTAGACCAACGGCTGCCAAGTTCTTAGCTCATGCCCTACCTTTCCAAAGAACTGTTTGAAGTGCATGCAAATTTCTCATTAAACACATTTACTTTATGGCTTAATAGGATGAGGTCTTTCTGGACTGTCTAAAAAAGTAAATGCCAAAAACAGCTTAAAATATTTGAGTAGAAAGGCTGGCAGGAAAACAGGAACTCTGGTTTGCAGTCTTGAACTTTTCACTCTTTTTAATCCAGAATAAACCCCAAAACCTATTTTTGAAATTTAATGAAAAATAATGAACACCAGAATAGCTCTTAGCCACTTGTTATAGACACTCACCTGAAGAAGAATGGAAGATGCAGCTTCCAGCTCTTGGTCTGAATGAGTGCCATAACCACTAAACTTATGACTATTCTGGGGAGTGCCTCTTTCATTGAATCAAATACTTTTCCACGTCTGAAAAATGTTGGTTTCAGTGACTCAACATTTCTCCAACAAAACAGCATTAAGTTCCAAACAATTTCTAGGTATAAACTGCCCTTTATACAGCATATAAAAAGAACTTGTAGAGCTGCCATTATTTACCTTTCACACTACCTGAAACAAATGTCAAATGCCTTGGTATATTTTGGTAGGTTATTGAATTTCGTTCAATGACTTGACTTTTTATACTTTTTCAAGTTCAAAACTCCTATTAATTTCTATCCTACGTTTGCTTGCCTTTTTCTACAAAACACCATCGACAATGCAATACAAAACATGAAGTAGATCTCAGAAACCTACACTGAAAGGAGAGGGAGGGCTCCAAAGGGTACTGTACAAAGGTGGAGGAGTCCTGGCTAGAAATGGACTGTATCAGTGCATCAGGCAGCGTCAGGCCTAGAATGTACCTTTTGCTTAGTGACTCCAGCCCCCAGCCATATACGGAGCCCCTGGATACCTGCAATGCTGGGCAAATGCTTGCTGAGAAGAATAGCTGATTTTCTCTGTTACTGAAAAGCCAGGTGGCTCTCCTTGGTCCTGTAGGCATAGCCCAGTTTCATTCATTAGACCTAACCAACAGCCCACCTCAACTTTGTTGTAGAGACAGGAGGGAATGTGTCCCTACTTCCCAGCCCCAGAAGGGCCAGGCTGCAGCCTCTAAGGGACAGGACCTTTTTCACTAAATGTGGGATGGCCTGTGATTTCAGGACTCCTCCTCACAAGCTTCAAAGCTATTGTAAATGAGCAATACCTGCATGCATCTCTTCATACATAAGGTCATGGGCAGTGTGATGCAGACTTCCTGAGTTCTCTTCAGTAACTCAAAAGCTGTTTGGTTGGCACACACCAAAGTTAGGAGTAGTGGAAAGCCAGCCCTCTGTGCCCCCCAAATTAAACTAAAGCACCCATCTGCCCAGCTACAGCATATAACACATGACTAAATCAAAATTACCCTACTGTCATGGTCAGCAAGTACTATTCAGTATTACAGCTGAAAGTAGCCAGCAGAGCATATTTCACTTCTCAGGCATTTTCTGGCAGGCTACAGTGCACAGATGACTGTTTGTTTGAAAATGAAAGATCTTTTTAGCATTTGATTTCCAACAAACACATACCAGCCCTCTTGCGCACAGTGTCTGGGAACCTCTTTCAAGTGATTAAGAAGGTGGAAAAAGAAAGAGAGAGAGCAAATGTTATGCTACCTTGACGTGTGGCAATGCTTGTGTCACTTGATTCCCTCCCACTGGTGTAGACAACTTTTGGGGTCAGGCAACAATGTCACAGTGAATCCAGGTGCCAGAGAGAACACAAGTAGAGCTTCACCCAACCCACCTGTCCTGTTGGTTTTTTCCAAGAAGCTCAGAAAAACAATGCCCAAGGGAGGAAGGAAGGAGGCTTTATTCTCAGCTTTAGTCAATGGAAATCGAGGACATTTCAACAAAATGGTGCACTGTTATGGCAACTCAGAACTTATCAGGAGCTTTGAAAAACCACGTGTCCATTTTTCGTTTGTTCTGTTTTTTATCTTATCCAATCCTGTGTGCACCAAGCCCCACCCTGTTATAAACACCTTTGTACCTGGCTGAATCAGACTTCCATACCTTGGACAAGTTAGCTTGAAGGCTGCCCAAAGGGCCTGCACATGAGACAGACACCTTCCTGAGCACAGGCCACAGGAATCAAAAACAAAAAGCAAGTTGTGGGAAGCTAGTGAGGAGGCTGTGGTTTGAACTGGAGCACAAGATCAAGATCATCACATTTGTAGTCCATCTTTCCAGCCACTGTCTCCAATGCTTCCTGGCCCCTTTGAACAATATATGAAAGAAGTAGCTATGAGCCATATTGCTTTGCATTGAGGAGAGGGAGCTGTGAGCCAAATGAAAGTGCCAGCAGGTGGATCCAGCTTGCAGGCTGTATATTTGATGTCTTGCCCAGGTTTAGAAAAGAGATGCACTTCATAAGAAGAAGTCTGTCATCTCGGCACCTTTTGTCTGGCAGGGCTGGTTGAGGTAGTCAGGATTTGTAGCATTCTGAATTTCATGTCCAAGGACCTGTGCTCTCACTTAGAAACCTTTTAAATCCAGCTGCAGGCTTAATCCGGAGACTAAGGAAATAGCTGAAAATCAGGTAGCCACAGGGGACTTGCAACAGGGATTTCTTGCCTAGGGAAAG